TTACATCATTACTCTAAATTGTGTCAATTTGATTAATTTAGAAATACTTATGCTAATAATTTGTTGAGACATTTGAATTTTTATCAATCTTATGCTTGTCATAACTTTGAATACAATTCTATCTATTTTAAGTTCAATTTATTTATTTTCGAAAATTCAATTTATTCTTCTATTGAATTAACATAATTTTGAAATAAGTTAAAGATTTCTGAATATCACTTTATGTTAATACCTTTTAAATGCATGGAATACAAATTAAACCAATCATCATCATCATAAATCCATGAACAAGTCATTATTTGCACTCTGGATATATAGAGTAACATTGGTTACAGTATTTCAAAAGTTGAAGATGACAAGTTTTACTATCAACTAAATTGTTCCATGATTCAAAAAGAATGGGGTATATTGAAGCAGTAGAAAAGATAGTTCGTTGTAGCAATCATTACAAGTAAATGCACCAACAAAAATCATTAAGCCCATGAATGATGCTTATTTCTTCCAGTAAGGCTGTTACAATGGATGCCATCGATAACAGGGTTGAGTCCATTAAAAACTACTCATCAATTGCTCCAGTCGATCATCATTCAGTTCTTGCACATCTGTTTTCAAAAATATGCCAAGACAATAAAAGGAAACCTCCGCATCATTGATCCCAGAGAAAAGAGACAGGACATTGATACCACCATGGAACATGTCTCTATACAGATCCTCGTGTATGGTTTTTAAGGAAACCTAGAAGCATTTCCGCCTCATCAGGTTCAAGTGGAGCAAATTTATTCCTTCCAACCCATACCAGATTCCATTTTCAGCACTCATCAAGAACATACTTTTGGACACTCGCATGAAGGCCATCATTTCTTTGTCAATGTAAAAGCATCAGCACATAGAGGAAGCAGAATAAGAGAAAATCTGTTCTCAATTGGCAGAATTATGAATATAGCCCTTTTCAGTGTAGTAGCATGAAAATGCTTCGAATCTACAAATTCTGGCTCTACATCGAATAAGTACTGTGATATCCCAGTCCAAACATTAACTGGAACAAATGCCATGTGCTCATAGCATCTTCTGGAAGTGTTCTTTGAGTTATCTGATCTGGTTTGGTATGAACCCCGAAAAACCAATCATTGGACTTGAAAGATGAATGTGCTCATAGCATCTTCTGGAAGTGTTCTTTGAGTTATCTGATTTGGTTCAGTAGGAACCACAGAACCAATCATTGGAATTAAAAGATGAATTGCATGATCGTCTTCATTAAGAAGCTTCTTTTCAAGCTTCTTCTGTTTAGTCCTTTCCCAAAAATCATAGCCCAAGTTTCGCCTTTTCTTGTAATTGGGATCATTGCATAATGACTTCCTACCTTTTACCAGAAGAAGTGCATCAGCAGCCTTAGTCATTTGAGCAGCACATATGAAATCTGTCAATTTTGTAATTGATGAATCTGAACCACATCTCTTCATGGCTATTGAAGCTTTAGCCTCTGAGAATCCCATTTTTGTCAAGAATAACAGTTTATTCTCCTCATCAGAATCAGAATTCAAGATTTCTTGGTATTAAAAGAACTATCGATATCTGTGAAATCATCTTGAAATGTCACTTCATAATCAGATGAGTTGTTATCAGAATTAACATGTTGAATGAATGCAAGCTTTTCAAGAGCCTATACTATTGAGTTTTATTCTCAAGAGGTTTTGTGAAATTATATCTACATTTGTCAAAGATGATAGATTCTCTGATTTGAAGAAAATAGATCTATTGGGTTTTTACAATTGAAGAAATACTCAATTCACCAATCTGAAATCAAATAACTTAACATTCATGCATCATTTAGGTGTTTGCAAAAATAGGTGCATTTTCATTCATTTCATCCATATTGAATTTTGACAGGAATTTCAAAGATTTTTAGCAAAGATTCAAATCCATCACTTGATGGATCAGCTTTTCCAGTTCGAGTTCATAATGAGAAGAACTCATCATTTGAAGAAGGAAGAAGAAATTCATAATGAGAAGAATTTGTTTAACCTTTTGCTCAAATCCATCACTTGATGGATCAGCTTTTCCAGTTCGAGTTCATAATGAGAAGAATTCTGAAGAAGGAAGAAGAAATTCATAATGAGAAGAATTTGTTTAACCTTTTGCTCAAATTCATCACTTGATGGATCAGCTTTTCCAGTTCGAGTTCATAATGAGAAGAATTCACCTGAAGAAGGAAGAAGAAGTTCATAATGAGAAGAACTTGTTTAACCTTTTATTCAAATTCATCACTTGATAGATCAACATTTCCAGAGAAAGTTCATAATAAGAAGAACTTATCTGAAGAGGAAGAAGAAGTTCATAATGAGAAGAACTTGTTTAACCTTTTATTCAAATTCATCACTTGATGGATCAACATTTCCAGAGAAAGTTCATAATAAGAAGAACTTATCTGAAGAGGAAGAAGAAGTTCACAATGAGAAGAGCATGTTCAACCTTTTACATAATTTTATCACATATATGTTAGCATCAACCTTTCCAGAGAAAGTTCATAATGAGAAGAACTCATCTGAAAAAGAAAGAAGAAGTTCATAATGAGAAGAGCTTATTCAACCTTTGGAATGACTCTATCACAGAAGGAAATAGGCCAACATCATCCCCAGGGGGAAGTTCATAATGAGAAGAACTTATCTGAAGAAAGAGAAGAATTTATTCAACATTGCTATTATAATCATGTGAAGCCAAATGGATAAAAAAAATTTATTATCTTTTCGTCTTTGCCCTATTCTTGTTAACAGAAGAATGGGCAAAGAGGGGCAGCTGAAGATACTAATTTTTTTTACTCATTTTATTATTATTATTATTATAATTATTATTATTATAATTATTATTATTAAAAAATAATTACAAAACAGGCCCAGATTGGACCGGCCCAATTACAAAGGACCCAACTGGCCCAAATCAGAAACCCTAAAACCCAATTAGGGTTTTTCTATCCAGCTGTCGCCGCTTTGCTTCTCCACCGTTGGATCTAGCATTGATCCAACGGTCCAGATGGCGCCAGACGAAACCCTAGGGTTATGATACCCTAGGGACTACACCAGCTGCCACCGCTCCATGTCGCTCCACGTCGCTCCAGTCGCTGCCACGCCCCAACCGAAGGCTCCAGAAGCTCCAACGCCAGCCGTCCACGTTATGGCTATGGGGTGAGTCACCACTGGGAGTCCGGTGACTCACCGAAGGGTATTCTTTTACCCGGTCTGATGGCCACACCGGTGATGGCTATAAAGCCATCACCCCATCTGCGAAAAAAAAAAGAAAAAGAAGAAAAAAAGGAGATAGACCGAGAGAGACAGAAACAGAGAGCAAAGATACAAACGAAGAACAACAACCCACAACCAGTAGTAAACCAAAACAGAAACGAAAAGAAAGGAAAGAAGCTTACCGAGGAAGCCACCGGACCTCTTCAAACGTCACCAAAACCTTCGAAAACCGAAGGTACTTCTTTAGATTTGCTCCGATCGGGAGCTATTTAGGAGAAAAGAGCACCGGAACCGTCCTTAGGACGGTCCGATCTACATAATGGTGTAAAAATAATTTTTTCCGGCCACCGGATGCGGTGGCCGGCGGTGAGAGTCACGGCGGCAGACGGCTGCCGTCCGGTGACCGGCTTCCCTCCGATGAGGGAAGCTAGAGAGAAGGGAGAGCGTTTTATTCTCTCTCAGTTAGAGAGAGAAATAAAAAAAAAAGGAAATGAGATATGGCCCGAAGGGCCAGCCGGATTCGGCTTTAAATAGCCTTTCCCGAACGACGTCGTTTCGGGGAGGGCTATTCGTGTAATTAAATAATAGTTAAATCCTTTCCGCAGTCAGCCTATTTTGTAAACTTTACATTTTAGTCACTAAATCAAGTTTATAATCCTTTTAATTCGATTCTTTAATTTCAATTTTATTTATTTTAGTCCTTTATATTAAAATAATATATATAGGGTAAATAACAGATTTAATCCCTTAATTTTAATAATTAATATTTTAATCCCGAGTTTATATTTTTTATTTATTTTAATCTGATATTCGAATTTTAGATAAGTTTTATTTTAGTCACTGAATTAATAAATAAGAAAATAGCATGTTTAATCCCTATAATTTTGATTAATTATGAATTGGATATTTAATTTTAATTTTACTATAATCTAGTCACCAATTTTAAATATTTTCATATAGTTCTAATTATATTTTTATTGTTTTAATTTTATTTGTTTTATATTTAAATATTTTTATTATTATTATGTAGTCATAAATATATATAATAAATAATAATTTATTTATTTTTTCTCAATAAATTATTTTAATATTTATTTTTCAATATCGAAGAAAATGACAGTCTTAATACAACTGGATGTTCTATTCTGGTATTTTAAAATTAAATATTATAAAAAATTATTATTTTATTTTATTCAAATTAATATTTATTAATATCAAAGAAAAGAGCTGTCTTAAGGCACCTAGAAGTCCTTTTCCGATATTTTTAAATATTTTTTATATAATTTTGAAATAATAGGATTATAAATTAAATATATTTTGAATTTTTAATAATAGAGACAATTTATAATTAAAAAGTATCAATTTTGGGCGTTGTAAGGGTGCTAATCCTTCCCTAAACGTAACCGACCACGAATCCCTTTTTATTATTAAAAAGAATGAATTTTTGGTTATAAACGCATATCAGTTCATTTTTTAATTGATGATTTCTTAAAACTCTTTTAAAAAATAATTTTTAGGTATTCGACCTACCTGACCCAAAAGGCCGATGGCGACTCCTAAATTATTTTCAAAAACCATTTATTCACATCAATTTTTCCGTCAAATAAATTTTTCGTACCCGGACGAAAACCGGTTACGACATGTTTGATTGAATTCCAGTTGATTTGAGGGAGAGACATGGATTCCATGGCGCGTTGGGTCTGGGACTGGAAGCAAAGGAGGGAAGTCGTATTGGTGGAACTGTAGAGAAAGAAAACGGCGGCGACAAGGACAAAGATTGAGATGATTCTGTAGAAATTCTCGGTAAGCCATGTGGAAAAATCAAGGCTTTTGGAGTCGGCGAACCTGTGTGTAGGGAGAGTTGTGATGTGGGGAGGCTTTGAAGATTTGGGAACTGCACGGTCTTGGACCAACATTTGATCGTTAGCTTAGAATTTTTCCAAAGCTAGAATCTGGGTAGATCTTCCCTTATGATCCCCAGCTACACTCAATAGCCTGACTCTATACTTGTGTTTCGTGTGGAGTGAAAGAGTAAATGAAACGGAATTGACAGACAATCTTTCTTGTTGCCGACAAGTACAAGCGAAGAGAAGAGAGGTTGGTGTGTTTGGGCAGGCTTTAATGTAAAATTATATGTAAAGCAATTTGGTATTTGGTGGGTCGTTGTCGTGTCGTCTTCTGGAAATCATTTCTATTTTATTTTGTTTTAAGTTTATTTTTCTTTGTGATTCTCAGTCCCATGCATCTGTAACTCCAGCTTCTGTTGTTGTATGGTTGGACTAACATGATTCAGCTTTTTAGCTTCAGGATGTCGGGGAAGCTCAGGCTTTCTCCTCCCGTTCCGGTTGGCACACAATCTTAAAGCTGTTAAATGCTGCTGATCAAATGATTTTTATTTTAAAGTTTACTATCAATTAGAATTAAAATGAATTTTATTTTAATAATTTTATAAGGAGTTAGCATCAATTTATATCGTAATAATATGGATATATCACATATTTAAATCTAAAAATTGAAAGAGACAAAAAATTTATTTAAAATAATATTTAAACAAGAAAAAAGACATAAATTTAACGATTTCAATGGTTAAAGATATGTTTATTATCCCTAAATATCTCGAATTCAAACATGATATCTGCAGGAATGTTTGAGCGTTCAGTCGATAATCTTTTGAATAGATACTATCTTTTAATTATCCCACAATTAAGAAATAAATAGAAAAGAACTAAAGAAGCTTTCAAGACCTTCCTCTAGATCTTGGAAGCACATGTCTGAGTTTTGGAGCTTGTTCTGCACATTCTCATCGTTCTTCATGTTTCCAGATTTAATGAAGGAGCACAAAGCGGCTTCAGCATTTGCAATTTCATTATATTTATTTTGTTCTTCTTCATCGCACATTACTCTTCTCTGGTGCATTAACTAGTGACCACCGGCATGATTTCAAATCAGCCTCTGGCCCTGAAATAAAGGACAACAAGTATTCTAGGCCGCTGATGTCTATAAATTATAAAATAAAACATCATATGATATAATAAACGAATGTTAAAATTATAATTCGACTCCAAAATCACTTTTTCAAACATAAAAATTAGAAATTTCAACTTTTAAATTTAGATTAAAAAGCACTTTTCAAATGTAATTTTAAAACATATTTAGTATTGCTTATAGTTCCAACAGCGTTTTAATCTCAAAAGCACTTTTGAAAAGCAATAAGAAACGAAGTCTGAGATTCCCTCGATTTGTAAAATAAAGGGATATTATCTTGAAGGCAAGCTGTTTGAAGAAAGAAGGCTCGACATTCAAAGGAGGACGGTAATGATGAATTCAGATAGATGATACGAATACAAATATAATATAAAAAAATAACATCAGCGCGAAACACATCACCATATGTTACAGATAGATGAATGAATTAAAAGTTATACATACATAAGGAGGAAATAATAAGGTGTTTTTGAATGGATTAAATGCTGAAAATTTTGCAAATTCAACCAAATACATAGAAGAAAAGGTGGTAGAATTGGTTGCAGCAGAAACATCTTTGAACTTAAAATCACCAGTTCCATGGTATGTTCAACCTTGGCTTAAATAGGAGATGATACTTTTTTACTTCAACGGGAAAGATCACCGGATGTTGGATTTTTAGCTACATGATTTTACAGGATCAACAACCAGCAGCTTTTAGGAAGTTATCATATGGGGACGAGGTTGGTAAACTGAACGGCTGGAGATGGTTCTGGTACTCAGTTGCACACCGCGGTGAAAGAGTGTCAAATGGTTGTTTCAATGGGTTAGTACCATCTGTTTGCTCGAGGATAGGGCCAGTCTGCATTTTTTAAGTTCGAGCGTGAATGTTTAATCACGAGAAACACAATACTTAACAGATGGGGTTATAGGTAAGAAGAACAATAGGGCCTACACGTAGACAACCTCACTGGGGGTCGTCAGCCTCACATGGGGTTATAGGTAAGAAGAACAATACAATGCACCTGGTTCTGATATCATATTAAGCATCTAACCTAAAATTAATATGTAGATGGAGTGGCTCAACTAAGTCCAATAACACCACTTAACACGTGCATAAAATTCACTAAATCAAGGGCCTCACGAATTCCCGTTGACAAGGGAGTTAAGGGTACCTGTTTTGTGTCGTCAAAAGGATTTTGAAAAGATAAGCAGTTAATCAAGCTTTCTTGTTTCAGATGGACACTCATCAAATCAGACAGCTTCTGCTGCTTCCCGGTCTGGAGTGTCTCGCAATGATGAGCTATATCCTTGTAAGACATGTCAGGTCCGGTGGAGACAGAAGGTCTTCCAAACTGATATGAAGTCTCCAATACCTGTGCCGATAAAGCAAATAAATATGTGTTTGATCGCTTGTACTTTAAAGACAGTAAGAAAGAATTACAGAATCTAGGAGTTGATTGACATCCAAGGGTTCTGGAATTCCCTGGGACAACCCAGAATTATCTTTGGTTTGACATTCATCTTCTGTAGAGAAAAATTGAGCTCCCTGCTGAGCAAAAGAGGGCAAATGAGTTCCAAGCTTTGAGAGATAAATTTCGAGGGTAGTGCAAGGCCATTTACCTCCTTAATAGAATTATTCTCTTCTGCGCCAGCTTTAAGTAGTGCATCCTTTGGCAACTGGGCACCTAGAGGACACACATCATCCGGCAAGAATTTACTTAACAACTGTGCCCTTGTATTGGACAATTCAAGCTGCATATATACGCACAAGATATTAGTGTGGGGTAATTAAAACAGATATTACTAGTTCTTTGATGATAAATACATATTTGTTCGGCCAAAATAAATTTTTATTATAACCCAAAAGTGTATAACTAACCAACGTTTAGAAAAAAACACTGCAGCATGCACACCTGATCCACGTATTAATGAAAACATAAAGTACCTAAAAACAACGAATCAGACACAAACTTGACCCACATCTGCATGAAAATATAGAACATCCCAGAATAAAGAACACCAAAATACAAGCAGCCAAGAATCTCCTGAAAGCACTGGAACTCTGAAACATACTCCATAAAAGCACCCAAAGTTCATTTACAAAACACCAAAGCACAAAAAGAGAGCATAACACCAACAATGAAAACAGTATATCCAACAAGAAGGAAAGGATTGAATTGGGATAAAAAGGCTTACTTCTGATGAAATTCCCAATCTTTTTAAGATCTCAGAAGCAAGGCTTTCCCTGCGTTGCTCTGGGGTAATCTCAATTTGTGAGAGTGTCTTTAGAGCTAAATTATCATCTTCTTCAGATCCATAAACAGACCTCGAGTCAATTGCCTTTAACTTGCAATCTTCCACCAAGCGCAAGAACGGGTCATCCTATTAATCATAGAACAATAACATGAAAATATCAATCTGGTTTTGAGATGTTTAATTAACATATGAAAAAAGCAAGGGAAAGAAATTAGTGAAGATCATGACCGATAAGTTTTCATACCATTCTTTCTGTTAGAGTAACCTTGGCAAAATAGGCAATAGGAATATTGAATGCTTTTGATGAAAATAGGATCATAGAAGTTGCCAAGGTGAAAAGAGACCTACGACGTGATGGTGGAAGTGGCCCTGCAGCAACAGTGGAAGTTCAGAATAAAGAGATAATATCCCAGTAACAGATATCAAGTTAGTTGTTTCATTTCCTTTTTGTTTCCCTCCTACAAGGTATCGAAGAAACAGGAAAAAAGGGGGGAAAAGAAGTCACTTGCGAGTTATTTCTTCTAAGGACTTGTGTTACAACCTAATTGAAATGAACCAAGACATCTTCCTAACCCTTCTTACCATATGATGTGCAACATTCATGGAAATTGTCTATAAGAGGTTCTCAAGATATATTTCAAAGATAAATTTTGTAGAACAGATTACCAACAAATATTTCATGCTTTTACAATGAGCTTGTTGATGTGAAAGTGAATTTGGACCATTTACCGATTAGAGGCAAAATCTAGCATATTTTATGCGAATCATAACTTGCAAATACTGTCTAGTGATTGTAACGTGGGGGAAAGCAAACACCAGCAAAACCCATGTGATTGCAAAGACAATTACTAATCTGGACACTCACCTCCTTCACTAAGAGCGATACTTCGCAATGAAAAGGCTAGCTGGAAACTGCGAACAAGAGCCTCATTGCTAGAATTCTGCATTATATTAAGAATGGAAATACAGAAATCAAACCTCCAGAAAATAATGAATATCGGTTAGATGCAATTGATACAATGAATAAAAGTTTTTTTACCAACAAGCCACTTAGACAATCAACTACAATTTTCACATAAAATACAATTTAAAGACTTAATAAGTTCTCCCATAGACTACTCAACTTGCAAAGTTAAAGGTACCATGATGTCCTACACGTGTTTCTTTATCGGACAAAAGCGAGACCCTAATACTCTAGGTAGAATTATTGTTCTTTCTGACCCCAAATTTGTTTTCAGGAAGAAACAGTTGAGCAATTACCTTGGCTCGAGCGAAGAGCAACACAAGGCTGTATGTATGAGCAATGGCTTCATAGTTTGTGGTGTATTTTGAGGAGAGACAGATTGTGCCCAAATTGATGAAAGCAAGAGACTAATCTGGGTGCTACTAAGCCGTAGAGAATGGGCCTCCTGACGTTTTACAAATAAAAATAATTAATTAAAGATGTGTAAACAAACCAATTTCAAACATACTTTAGTGTTAATCATTTCAAGAAGAAATCATTTTAAGAATGTAGAGAAGAGCAAGACATTGCTGCCCAAATAAGGTATTCTGTTTCAGTTATCTGCTATAAAGTTTGTGCCGGTAATCAAACTTTATGCCTAACTGTAATATAGCTTCAGAAGA